AGAAAAAGTAAAGACAGGGCTCCATCTTTTCCGAAAGGTTAGGATGCAGACAGAAACCCTAACTGGAACCTGTCTGCTTAGGAACTGGTATTAACGTGAGGTGCTAAGGAGTGAAAGTGCCACATACTTGAATAGTCAAATCTAAAAATGACACTGCTTCTCACCAGAGCAGGCAGAAATCAATACTTAAGAGAGAATGAGATATGAAATTTGAAATGCTAAAAACAAAAATTTTAAACGATCTTGGATTGAAGAAGACTCTTATGACAAGAATGTTTGAAAATAACTTAGTCATCTTCCATCTCCACTGAAAACACTGTTTCATCTTAATATCTTCATGAGATTAAAGGTTTAAATAATTTTGACATATGCATATTTCTGGTGTTACTCTTACATAACTTGAAAGCTCAATATACTGCCTGTTAAAGACAGATGGCTATCAACCAGTATTCTACTATCTAAGCCACAGTAAGACAAAGAAGGTAAACATAAAAATACTAAAAATATGCCATCAATTTAGATACTGAAAAGATCTATTTCTTCATTTCAATCAGCTGTTCAATACAGCTAGCTTTCTTTCTGCATTGCACAGTGTAGGGGAAATAAAAATTATATAAATGTTTTCTGATAACAGTGTGCATTAACTTCAGTTATTTGGATGTCATTTAACTGGTAGTATTTAGAATAGATAGTTGAAGGCTAGTAACAACATAAGAACTCTCTGAACTTTTTATAATACAGTCTTGTTTTTCTTAACGATGGGAATACGTTTTGAGAAATGCGTTAGGTGATTCTGTCACTGTGCCAACATCATAGCGGGCACACACACAAACCTAGGTGGTAGAGCCTATTATACAGCTAAGCTATATGGTGTAAGTCTGCTGCAGCCTGTACATCATGCTACCATACTGAACACTACAGGAAATTTAACACAAGGGTTACATACAGTAAAAGTATGGCATAAAAGATGAAAACGGTACACCCATAAAAGGCATGTACCTTGAGTTGCATTTGTAGGAGAGTGAGTTGTTCTGGGTGATTTAGTGAGTAAATGGTGAATATGAAGGTCTAAGATATTATACATTACTGTAGACTTTTAAATTAGTATATAATTAGGTTATGCTAAATTTAAAAAAGTTTTTCTTTGGTAATAAATTAACCTTAGCGTCCAACAGATTTTCACTTTATAAATTTTAAAATGTTAACTTCTGGACTCTTTTGTAATAATACTAACATAAAACACAAATATATTGTACAACTGCACAAAAACATTTTCTTTTGGGCCAGCCTGGTAGTGGTTGAGTGCTGAGAATATGGAGGTAGATCTCACATGGTCAACCCTGGTTCAAATCTTGGCCCCATTGGCTTTAAAAGCATATCAGGTACGTGTATGTGCATGACCACCCAAAATGCTGATAGTATGAAGAAATAAGGAAAAAGAACTGCAGCATGATCACACCTTCTTGGGGGGTGATAGCTTTTTCTTTCTCTCTGGCAAACACATGTGCCCTCTGGCAATTAAAAAAAATACAGCATATTTCTTTATATCTACATTCTACAAGCATTATTCTATTTTAGAAATACTTTATTTTTACTTTTAAACATTTTTGTTAGAAACATTTTTGTTAGACACAGCCATACACATTAGCCTGTGCCTACACAGAGCTGGGATATCACTGCCCTCTACCTCCACATATGGTCCCACTGGAAGGGTGATGATAAATAAAGTTAAGATGAGATCAAACCAAGCACAAGAGAAAATGATGTGGGCCAGCTGGTGGACTGGTGGTTGAGGTAGCTGGATACTACATGGTGGACTGCATAGTTCTAGTCTTGACCAGGTGGCATGAAACCATGCTGGTACATGCATGCCCAGAGTCCTGAGAGGAAAGTGGAGCAGAGGGGATTGCAGCGTGGCCTTCCCCCCAAGGGGTGCTCTCTTGCTTTCTCTTTTTCTCTCTTTCAGTTTCTCTCTAGCAAACCCACATGCCTTCTAACAAATTTTTAAAAATAAAGAGAAAATGTAATCAAGACATGAGGTAAACAAAAGACATAAGAGATTGTTGGTGTAATATAGCAAACTATTCCATAGTTTTTAAAAACTGTATATAAGTAAGAATACACTCTAAAACAACAATAAAAAATATAGCTGAGTAAATGTATAAATTAGTAACATCACTGCTTATTATCTTTATCAAATATCATGTGTGAAATATAACTATATGTGCTGTACTTTACGCGTCCAACAGATTTTCACTTTATAAATTTTAAAATGTTAACTTCTGGACTCTTTTGTAATAATACTAACATAAAACACAAATATATTGTACAACTGCACAAAAACATTTTCTTTTGGGCCAGCCTGGTAGTGGTTGAGTGCTGAGAATATGGAGGTAGATCTCACATGGTCAACCCTGGTTCAAATCTTGGCCCCATTGGCTTTAAAAGCATATCAGGTACGTGTATGTGCATGACCACCCAAAATGCTGATAGTATGAAGAAATAAGGAAAAAGAACTGCAGCATGATCACACCTTCTTGGGGGGTGATAGCTTTTTCTTTCTCTCTGGCAAACACATGTGCCCTCTGGCAATTAAAAAAAATACAGCATATTTCTTTATATCTACATTCTACAAGCATTATTCTATTTTAGAAATACTTTATTTTTACTTTTAAACATTTTTGTTAGAAACATTTTTGTTAGACACAGCCATACACATTAGCCTGTGCCTACACAGAGCTGGGATATCACTGCCCTCTACCTCCACATATGGTCCCACTGGAAGGGTGATGATAAATAAAGTTAAGATGAGATCAAACCAAGCACAAGAGAAAATGATGTGGGCCAGCTGGTGGACTGGTGGTTGAGGTAGCTGGATACTACATGGTGGACTGCATAGTTCTAGTCTTGACCAGGTGGCATGAAACCATGCTGGTACATGCATGCCCAGAGTCCTGAGAGGAAAGTGGAGCAGAGGGGATTGCAGCGTGGCCTTCCCCCCAAGGGGTGCTCTCTTGCTTTCTCTTTTTCTCTCTTTCAGTTTCTCTCTAGCAAACCCACATGCCTTCTAACAAATTTTTAAAAATAAAGAGAAAATGTAATCAAGACATGAGGTAAACAAAAGACATAAGAGATTGTTGGTGTAATATAGCAAACTATTCCATAGTTTTTAAAAACTGTATATAAGTAAGAATACACTCTAAAACAACAATAAAAAATATAGCTGAGTAAATGTATAAATTAGTAACATCACTGCTTATTATCTTTATCAAATATCATGTGTGAAATATAACTATATGTGCTGTACTTTACACATGACTGGCAGAGCAGTAGGTCTGTTCATACCAGCAGCACCACAAACACACCAACAACACACCATGACATGACAGCTACGACATCATCAGAAGACAGTTCTTCTATAATCATACAGGACCACTGTCAAAGTATGCAATACACCGGGGCCAGCAGGTGGTGTGGTGGTTGGGGGTGCTGGATTCCCACATGGCTGATTGTGGTTCGAGTCCTGGCCCTGGCGGCTTGCCTTCTCACTTATGCTCTCTTTCTCTCTCTTGCTCTGTCCCTCTCTGGTCGAATTAAAATAAATAAACAAAGTTAAATAAACTCATTCTTTAAATAAATAAAGTTTTAAAAAAAGTATATAGTCCACTGCTGACTAAAAAGTCATTATGCAGCAGACCAACTGTATATACACCTAAAACGAACACATTTTACCTTCTTTTTTTGAGAGATTTGTTTTTGCTACAGGGCATGCGCACTCACCGGAAAGACAGAAAGCGAGAAATCATCCCCTGGGCGGATGGACATGCCACAACCCCTTCTCTTCCATTCTCTTCTCGGATTTTGGGTATGCACGCACACATGACCAGTGTGAATTTCAAGCCCCTGGGTCTGGGACTTGAACCACAAGGGAGTCCAGTACCTTAGCCACTATGCCACCTGCTGACCCCAAGTATTTTTACTTTCAAGAGTTATCTCTTAAGTCTCTAAATTAAATTTTTAATTTTATTATAAACTTAATTTTAATGAGCTGAAAAATTAGTATTTGGCTTCCTAATAGGCCAGGAAGAGCAAATTATTAAGAGATAAAGGTCTTCTAACAACAGGCACAGACAGGAGTAAGAAATGACAGTCAATAATAAGGCAAGGGAAAAAAGCTATTTCAGTTTCAGACAAGCTGAAGAACTCACTTCTATGTTAGAGAAATGCACTGTGACTATTTCCACCCCACTGTTAGAAAAACAAAGTCACTGAGGTTATCTTGTCCAATTACAGAGTTAATCATTCTATGAGCAAGAGAAACATGATGGGGCTTTTCATATGATCGAAACAAAAGTAAAGGGATTTCCAACGATGTCTAGACCTATCATAGTTAGATGAGTAAATGGATAGAGGCTAAAAGGTCATGTAAGGCAGAGACTACTCATGGATATATTTATACAGCAAAGGTTTAATGCAGACACATTTCTACAAAAATTATGATAGGTACTGAGTTCAAATGAGGATCTTTTCATGACCAATGTATGGTACTTCTTAAATTTGGTGAAATTTAATCTGTCCTAAATGTGAAAATACAATTGGAGGACTTAAGCCTTTATTACATAAAATAACAGGTATACAAAGTTGCTTCAAGTGGTTATCTATAAAAATGAAGTTTGCTATAAGCAAAAAAATAGTTATTGTCAAAACGGCAGAATTTTCATCACATACAGATTGTACTATGTATGAGAATTAACAGCTTGTCAAGTGTAACCCTATCATCTACTGGTTTTCTCATGCCACTATCTACATTTTGCACCTAGTCCAAACAGTGCTAGTCTAAGCAAATGCAAATTACTAAGCTAGTAATCACAGTTGCCCTTTATTAGTGAAATTACCAACAACCTAAATGCTTATCTGAAGAACTAAATATTTACCTGTTAGGTAATCAAGAAAAACATAGCAAATAAAGCTGTATCGATAACCGAGATGCATCTACTTACTTGGAATCCTAGTCCTCATTCTTGGAGTTTGTTTGACCCATTCCTGAGGGTTTTCTTGATATCCTGAGCCTGAAACAAATACATCAAAATATCAAATCAAAGCATCATTTCATATAGTTTGATATCTACACCATATTTCAGTCTTAATTTGTAAATCTACCAGAAAGGCAAAATAGAGGAGAAAAAAACAAAAGCAACAGTTGCAGAAGTAAAAGAAAATTTCAAAGGATCATGTCAGGAAAGATGAACTACTTTCCAAAGCAAAATAGGTAGCAAATAAATATTTCAGGATCGAATAGGTGTAACTACGTACAAGTCCTTTGCTGTGGTCTATGAGAATGACTGAGTTAAAAACACTTCATTAGATTCCAACATCATTTAAAAGGAAAAGTTAACCATTTACTCTTTCAAACAAATTAAGGTAAAATAACCCTGAACACATTTTCACATCATAATTACCACAAATAAATAAAGCGTGGTGGATTAAAAAAGCAAAAAGAATAAAATGACTTAAAATCCTATTAGAATATTCTTTTGTCAGAAATGAGGCAGGATCAGAATTGACTGAATTAAAAAAGAGTAAACAACCAACCACTTACTCAGCACAGAAGGTTGTTTATCATGAGCTATTAAGTCTTGACCTGAAACAGCAAGCATAAGTTATCTTATTAAAAAAGGTAATACAGGGCTGGCAGATGGTGGATGCGTGAAGTACTGGACTCCCACATGGCCTAGCATAGTTTGATTCCCGGACCTGGCCGCTCGCTTTCTCACCATCTCTTTCTTGCTTTCTGTCTCTCTGCGATCAAATTGAAGTAAAATTAAATAATTCTTTTTCTTTTTTTTTAAAAAAGCAATATGGAAAAAATTCCTTTTTTTTTTTTTTTTTTAAATAGAGGTTTTTGCTATAGGGTGCGTGCGCTCACCAGAAAGACAGAAAGTAAAAATCACCCCCACAGGAGGGCTGGCCGTGCCTCAATCCCTTCTCCTCCATTCTCCTCTCAGGATCTTGGGCACACACGCACATGTGCCCGGCATGAGTTTAAGTCACCAGGTCTGAGACTCGAACCACAGTCGACTACATGGGACTCCAGTGACATAGACATTATGCCAACTGCTGGTCCTGGAAAAAATATAATTGAAGAATTAACATATAAGAATATCTTCAGTTGATTAATAATTAAGTTCTGGAACTTGATTTTAAAAGGAAAAAGAAAAAAAAGTATTTTTTTGCTTAATCTAAAAGATTTGTATCAATTGTAGATAATCTGCAAAATACAAAAATAGTAAAGTGAAAGTGTCACCAATGTTTCTATCATCTTGAAAAAAGAATGTTAACATTTTAGTATATTATTTTCCAACATTTTTGACACTATAGTTTCTCAACATTTGCTCATGAAAAATTTCAAAGTTGTAAGACTTTTATAATGAATACCCATATGTCTGCCACTTAGTTTACCATTAACTTTTTACTATACATGCTTTATAACCTACTTATTATTCTTCTAAACTTTTGTAACAAAGCTGGAACCATACTACATATAATATTGTATCCTATTATTAGAATATGTCTGTGTAAGTTGGCTGAAATTGCTACATTAGTCCACTAAACAAAAAATTTGTATTGTAAGCAAGAATATTCCATAAATCATAGAAATAAATTTTTTTTTAAATTCAATCAAGGGGGCCAGCAGTTGGCATAGTGGTTACATTGCTGGACTCCCACATTGGCTGGCTGCAGTTTGAGTCACGGACCCAGTGGCTTGAAACACACCGGGTGTGTGTGCGTGAGTGCCCAAAATCCTGGGAGAAGGGATTGTGACTTGGCTATACCCCTTGCGGGGTGATTTCTCACTTTCCCTTTCACTGTCTCTGTCTCCTCCCCCAGCCAGCACACATGCCCTAAGGCAAAAACCTCTTCAAAAAAATCAATCAAGTTTGACTATAGAGAATAACAAGAAATCAATTTGAGAGGTAGATATCAGATGAGATTTTTAGCACTCATTACTCCTCTTTTTTTTTTTTTTGAGAGGTTTTTGCTATAGGGTGCATGGGCTCGCCAGACAGACAGAGAGACAGAAAGAGAGAAATCACCCCCCCCCCCAGAGGGGATGGCCACACCACAATCTCTTCTCCTCCATTCTCCTCTCGGGATCTTGGGCATACACGCACACGCGCCCAGCGTGAGTTTTTTAAGCCACCAGGTCCAGGACTCGAACCATGGTCGACTACGTGGGAGTCCAGCGACATAGCCATTATAGTAACTGCTGGTCCCTCATTACTCCTCTTTTTCAACATTTACATTAAATTGCAAAAAGATGATCTTCAAAAATAAGAATGGCGTTTGGCCATGCCCACAGGTAGGTCTGTATTACTTACTTTGAGATGACAGCCAAAGCGATCCTGGATACTGACTAGATGAGCTGGTGTTCTGATCTAGAATAACAACAATATAGTATGCTATCAATGATATCTAACATTTAAAACACACATTTTATAAGAAGACAAGTATTTAATCAAAAGTGCAAAAAGTATTCTGATGAGTTCTAGGGAATTCAACACTTAAATACATAATTTAAAGCTTCTAAAGAGTCATATCATATCTAAAAAAAAAAAAAGTAGCTAATTTTGCCTTTTCCCTAATCAGTATTTTTTTTTTCTTTAGAGGTGTTTGCCTTGCAGTGCATGTGCTCATTGGGGAGACAGACAGAGACAGTGAGAAAGTGAGAAACCACCCCCTAGGGAGGATGGCCACACCACAATCCCTTCTCCATTCTCCTGGGATCTTGGACACACACACCTATGTGCCTGGTATGAGTTTTTTTTTTTTTTTTTTTACAGAGGTTTTTGCTATAGGGTGCGTGCACTCACCAGAAAGACAGAGAGAGACAGAAAGACAGAGAGCGAAAAACCACCCCCCGGGGGGTGGCCACGCCACAACCCCCTCTGCTCCATTCTCCTCTTGGGATCTTGGACACACAAGCCTATGTGCCTGGTGTGAGTTTCAAATCACAGGTTCTGGGACTCAAATCAGAGTTGGTCATGTGGGAGTCCAATGACATAACCGCTATGCCATCTGCTGGTCCCTCCCTAGCCACTTTTTAAAGAAAAAAAACCTTTAAGATATGGAATACAGCATGAGGTAAGGAGGTAATGAAAGTATGTTGGCCCCATAGCCTGGTGGTTTAAGAGCTGGATCCCAAATGGCTAACTGTGGTTCCAGTCCTGGACCTGGTGGCTTCAGACCTTTGAGATGGCAAAAATCTAAAAATTCACAGTAACAGATCTTCTTGAAATCATTAATATCCATTTTTTTCCTTGAAATTTTCTTGCAAGTGCTTAGTACAGTATTTATTTTAGTCTACTTCTCTTAAAAACATTTTTTATAGTTGGCCCAATGGTCAAGGGCATTGGATTCCCACATGGCTGACCATGGTTCGAATCACGGACCTGGTAGCTTGCTTCCTCCCTTTCTCTCTCTCTCTCTGTCTCCTTGTGGCCAAATTAAAAAATAATAGCAAATGTAATTGAATAAATAATTCTTTAAAAAAAAAAAGCCAAAAAACATTTTTGCGGCCAGGTGATGGCATGGTGGTTAAGGCAACTGGATCCCAGTTGTGTGTGTGTGCCCAAAATCCTGAGGAAGGATTACAGTATGGCCATCCCCCTGTGGGGTGACTTTTCACTTTCCCTATCTCTCCCTGTCTCTCTCCAGTGAGCAAATTATCTATCAAGTAAGTGATCGAGTAGATACAAGTAGTTACTAAGAGTTAGGAGTGCTGGACCCGGTAGCTGAGAAACAGACCAAACTCGTGCATATGCATGCCCCAAATCAAGAGGGAAATGGAGAAGAGCCTACAGCATGGCTATCCTCCTGGGGATGCTTTCTCTCTCTTCTCTGGCAAGCACATGCACCCTACAGCAAATTAAAAAAAACAAAAACAAAACAAAACAAAAACACTTTTTTTTTTTACATGGAAGTAGAATTTATTACTAAACTTGTTTAAAAGTGATCAGATTACTATTCTCTAAATAGAAGGCTTTGAGAAATAAAGGTGTAACGGCTAAATATGTTTGAAAGTATACTCCCATTACTAAAAATATTCTGAGCATCAATTCTTGAAATATTTTTCTAACATTATACATTAGCATTTCTGAAATACTACATTAAGTAATGTGTTGTGTATATTATAAAATAGAAAAAAAAAACATTTTAAATTGATGAAATAAAAAACCACACAAATTTTCTAATACTTTATTCCTATACTCTAATAGACCTTCTGTATCTCTTAGATGATGACTAGCCCAGAAGATAATCTAGGAAGATCAGTAGTCCTCTTTTTCTTTTTTTAAGAGAGATTTTATTTTGCTGTAGGACATGTACACTCACCAGAGACAGACAGAGAGAAATCACCCCCAGGGGGGATGACCACACCACAATCCCTTCTCTTCCATTCTCGTCTCGGGGTTTTAGGCACATACACACATGGGCCCAGCGTGAGTTTTAAGCTGCTGGGTCTGGGACTTGAACTGCGGTCAACTACGTGGGAGTTCTGCAGCACAACCATTACATGATCTCTGGCCCAGTAGCCTTCTTCATAGGCCTCAACATTTTGTTCTGAGGATAGGGTTTCCTTTTGCATGTGGGTACACATGATTCAGGATCCGGGGTGTAGGTAGTGCCAAACAGCTGTATGTTGGCAGCAATGATAGCAAACTATTGGCTCTAGTTTTTGGAGTCTTTTTTAAGGAATTATTTAATTTTATTTACTTATTATTATTATTATCTTTTAGTTTGCTACAGGGCACATGTGCTCACCAGAGAGAGGAAGAGAGAGAGGAAAGTGAGAAAGCAAGCTGCCAGGTCCAGGATTCAAACTGGTCAGTCATGTGGGAGTTCAGCACTCAACCACCATGGTACCTGCTGACCCCAGTTTTTAGAGTTTCATGTATGTACATATTTAAATTAATAATAGCACTCGAGTGTTTACTGTGTGGCAAGCACTTCTGAAGTGTTCCGCGTACACAGTTGGCCCTCTGTATCCACAGTACTTGAGGGCTCCACATCCATGGATTCAAACAATCACAGATAAAATACACTTGGCACCCACAGGTACGCACCTACAGGTGTGGAGGGCTGACTACAAGACACTTGAACATCCAGAGAACTTGGTATCTACAGGAGTGAGAGGGGTGTCCTGGAACCAACCGCCCCATGGATAATCAAAAACGAATGAATGAATTAACTTACTTTCCACAATAACCCAGGGGAAGGGGCTGTGGAACACAGAAGTTTTATAGTAGTCTGAAGGCATATACCCAGGACGTGCAGAACTGAAATGCCATGTTTTTAACCACCATGTTAGTATTAGATATCTCCTTTTATGATTTCTATATCAAGAAAGAATAATGAAAAATGAGGAAGGGTAGGAAAGATACACAAACCAAATGCTCATACATCAGTTTGAGCTTATTTAAAAAGTGGAATGTGGGGGCCTACAGATGGTGGGGCAGGTTAGTCACTGGACTCCCACATGGCAGACAACGGCTTGAAAAATCACGCCGTGTGTGTGTGTGCGCACGTGCCCAAAACCCTGTGAAGAGTGGAGGAGAACGGATTACAGTATGGCCATACACCCTGGGGGGGTGACTTCTCTCTCTTTCTCTCTCTCTCTCTCTCCAGTGAGCAAGTATCTATCAATTAGGTTATCACTTAGATACAAGTCGTTATCTAAGTACATTAAAATTTCCTAAAGACTAAATAACTCTCCTGATAATGTGGTAAGTCCCAATGCCAACGTGATCAGTTTCTCCACAAAATTCAAAAACAAAAAAATAACATGTCTGAGCACAAATGTCTTATTTTCTGAAAATACTGAAACATGCTGAAATGATTTATTTGTTCAGATATTATTTGACCTTTCTTATTGATCACATGTACATATAGAATCAGTCATTTCAATACTAAAAATAGGGACCAGCAGTTAACGTAATGGCTATGTTGCTGGACTCCCATGTAGTCGACTGTGGTTCACGTCCCGGACCCGGTGGCTTAAAACTCACGCCGGGCACGTGTGCGTGCGTGCCCAAGATCCCGAGAGAAGAAAGGAGGAGAAGGGACTGCGGCATGGCCATCCCCCCTAGGGGGGTGATTTCTCACTTCCTGTCTGCTGTCTGTCTGGCGAGTGCATGTGCCCTATAGCAAAAACTCTCAAAAAAAAAAAAAAAAAAACTAAAAATATAAAACTTTTGGGTCGGTAAATGGGATGGTGGTTAAGGCAGCTGGATTCCCACATGCCTGGCTGGGGTTCAAGTCCCAGATCTAGTGACTTGAAAATCACGCTGGCGTGTGTGCATGTGTGTCCAAAATCCTGAGAAGGATTGTGGCATGGCCACAACATACCCAGCCAGGGGGTTATTTCTCACTTTCTCTCTCTCTTCCTCCTCTCCAGCAAGTGCATGCACCCTACAGCAAAAACCTCAAAATAATAACAATAAAACTACAAACTTAAAAAAAAAAAAGTACTTTAATATAACATTTTAAAATATTTTGGGGCCAGCAGGTGGTGTAGTGGTTAAGGATGCTAGACTCCCACATGGCCAACAGTCTTTCAAGTCCCAGATCTGGCAGCTTACTTTCTCGGTTTCTCTCTCTTGCTCATAAAATTAAAATACACAGAGACCAGCAGTTGGCATAATGGCTATGCTGCTAGACTTCCATGCAGTCGACTGTGGTTTGAGTCCCAGACCCAGTGGCTTAAACTCACACCGGGCGCATGTGCATGCATGCCCAAGATCCCGAGAGGAGAATGGAAGAGAAGGGACTAAGGGGTGGCCATCCCCCCAAGGGGGGATTTCTCACTTTCTGTCTCTATTTCTCTCAAAAACCTCTTCCAAAAAAAAAAATATTAAGATACATAAAGTTAAATAAAATAATTCTTAAAAATGTTTATTTTTAAAAAAGCCGATTTGTGGAATACCTTTGTATTTTAACTAAAAGGGTATCTCCTATGAGAAGAGTCAGATGCATATAAAGCAATGTTACCTCCAGACTCAACAGAATCCCCGGATCTGACCTTAACAGTAGTGCCATCACTGTCAGAGCTCTCTGGATCATCTTCCTCAGTTTCTCCTAAAGAGAAGTAAACAATATACTAGCAATAGAGTATTGATTAAGAGAACTAGATTAAAAAACAAGTAATTCAAGATTAAAATGAAGGCATTTTACTTATCACATACAGAAATGCTGCTTATTTAATACACCTATTTTGAATCACAAATTACTAAATAAGCTAAAACTAAAGACTTTTATTTTGTGTTTTCCGAGGAGCAGAATTAGAATTATTTCCCAGACAAATATTCACAATAATATTTAAAAGACTATATTCTGAGGCTTTAATGCAGAGATATAAATGAACAGATAAACATTAAGTAGTGGGAAGATTTTACTTTATGGGGGAAAACTACACACAATTAGTGTAAAATTTAGACAAGATCAGAGAGTACAGGGGTGTGTGTGTGTTTGGGGTGGGTACTATACACACACCCACACACAAACTTTTCAGTATATAAGTGACCAATCTCAGATTATGCTGAGATTAAAAATGGACTAAATTTTACTCCTGTGCTTTCCAAACATATACTGGTTGTGAGAATTTGGAAAAAAACTATTATTTTAATACCCTAATCAAAGGCCAGCATGTTCCAGAAATGGAACATAATTAGTTTTGCTTAAAATTAACTCAAGTAGACAAAAGATGTTTAAAAGATATCTAAGACTGTCATCACTCTATCGTACTTTACCTCCCACCTAATAGTTCAGATAAGCATACTTTCTTTTTTCCCGAATAGACTATTTTTTGCTTTCACTATTTTCTGATTCTAATGTAATGAAAAGAATGGGAATATACTGCATAATATTTAAGAAGAAAATACCTTCTTCAGAAAAATTGACCTTCTGTTGGACACTGGTGTTTTCTAGAAGAGAAAAGTATACACACTGTATATAACATCTAAAGCTAAAGCTTAGGAATAAGTAAGAGCATCTTAACTAGGAAAATGAACATACGGACAAAGTACATAAACATTTTTCTGTGAAATCACCAAGAATCTATCATTTCCTTCTAAGCTATTGCCAAAATAAATTTGCTATAAACTAGAACCAGAAATGAAGTATTGGGGCTGGTCCCAGGGCCTAGTGGTTAAGAGAACAGGATCCCTCACGGCTGACTGCATGGCTCAGATCCTGGGACCAGGGGCTTAAAAAGCATGCAAGGCACATATACACGTGCACCCCTAATCCTGACAGGATAGAAAAGGGATTGCAGCTTGACCAAGGACCATTAGGAGGCACGTTCTCTCTCTCCCGCCCTCTCGGTCTGCCTGGTGAGGGCAAGTGCCCTCTGACTGAATTTTTAAAAAGAAAGGTTTTATTTTTCCTTTAGTAAAAAGTCTACTTGTATAACTTGCATGTGCAGAAAACATTGAATTCCACACTGACAAGTATTCTAGTCCATATAGATGTACTAGTCTCACTTTTGCATTTGCTAAATGCCGCACCCTCTCTTGAAAAAACTTGCACACCAGCCGAACCAGTGCACTGGTATACCCCAAAGAGGAAGAAAGGTAAAGAAACCCCCTTTCTATTGCCAGCAGATCGACATGCAGCAGCACTATTTCTCAAAGCAACAGAGAACTTGAACAAAGACAAACAGGCAAAATAAATAAAACAAACTTTAAATGCAGCACTTTCACATGGGCTGTTCTGAAATTTTTTGAAAAATAAAAAGGAGATACACCTAAATGCAGGCACTGCACAATTGGGCTAAATGCCGTTTAATGATCATATGTAAAGTAACAACAAAGCTCAGATGCCTTTAACAAAACAGAAAATTTTGTTCCTTTTCAGTTTCTCTATTGATTTGAACCTTGGTTTATTTACTTTTTAAAAAGGGAAACAAGACTGTGGAAAGCAACTGCCAACACGTTATATGGAAGTATTTTTCTCAAATCAGTTTAATTAGATTGGTATAATATAATTAAACACTGAGCGCCACTGAAAATCCTCCTGGATAATAGCCAAGTGCAAATCATTATCTAAAATACTGGGTCATTGGGAGTCACAGCACATTTTGCATAGAAATACACATCATAACTTTTTCTTTCAGAGATTTTTGCTATAGGGCATGTGCGCTCAGCGGAGACACAGATATGGACAGAGAGAAAGTGAGAAATCACCCCCCAGGGGGGCGGGTGGTCACACCACAATCCCTCCTCCTCCATTCTCCTCTCGGATCTTGGGCAGACATGCACATGCACCTGGTGTGTGGTTTAAACCATAGGTCCGAAGTTCAAACCACGGCTGACTACATGAGAGTCCAATGATGTAACCATTATGCTATCTGCTGGTCTCCATATCATGTCTCTTTTGACAACCCAATTTATTTGCCAAATTTTTGCTGTGAAAAAAATGATCCTCCAAAGATTGCCTAGTGACCTGGTGGCAGGTGGTGAGAAGGTTAAGAGTGCTGGATTCCTAAGATGCCAACTGCAGTTCCAGTCCTGGATCTGGCAGCTTGCTTTCTCACTTTCCCTCTCTCTGTCATTCTGTCCCTTCCTGGTCAAATTAAAAATAAATAAAGTTAAATAATTATTTTATTTTAAAAAAAAATAGAGAAGATTGTCCAATAATACCATGTTACTCTTAAAAACTTAAAACCTGGGACCAGCTGACAGCATAATGGTTACATTGCTGGACTCCCACATAGTTGACTGCAGTTCAAGTCCCAGACCCAGTGGCTTAAAACTCATGCCGGGCAAGTGTGTATGTGTGTGTGTGTGTGTGCCCAAGATCCCAAGAGGAGAATGGAGAAGGGATTGCGGCATGGCCATCCTCCCAGAGGAAGATTTCTTGCTTTCTCTCTGGCAAGTGCACAAGCCCTATAGCAAAAATCTCTCTATATATAAAAAAAAAAAAAACTTAAAACTTGCTATATTATGTGTTATTTTAATCTAGGTTCTTTACAGAGACTGTCTTTATATTTTCTTTCTTTTTTTTTTTTTTTAAGGAAAAATAATGGAAGTCAAACTTGTCTTAGTATTGTTGTTCTCTTAAATTTTTTATTAAGGAGCCAGCAGGTGGCATGGTGGTTAAGAGCTCTTGACTCCCATGTGGCCAATGCGGTTCGAATATTGGACCTGGCGGCTTCCTTTCTTACTTTCCCTCTCTTTCTCTCTCACTCACTCATTCAGTCTTTCTCTGATCAAATTAAAATAAAATAAATAAAGTTAAATAAAAAGTTTTTATTAATATTTCCATTCTTTATTAGTGTAACTGCTCCCTTTTTGAAGCTTTACTTTCTAAGGACATAACTATTATAGCACTTTTTGTACACTTTTCTTTTATTAATTTATATAATTATTCATATAACACACATACAAAAAAAGATTTTTTTTTTTTTTGAGAGGTTTTTGCTATAGAAATCACCCCAGGGGTGATTTCTTACTTTCTGTCTCTCTTGTCTCTGTTTGTCTTTCTGGCGCACGCATGTGCCCTATAGCAAAAACCTCTCAAAAAATAAGGAGTCAATGTGGGCGGGGGACAGCAGGTGGCATGATAGTTAAGGGCACTAGACTACCACATGGTTGACCAAGGTTCAGGTCCTGGACCTGGTGGCTTGCTTTCTCACTTTCCTTCTCTCTCTTGTGTGTGCGTGCTCTCTCACTCTGTCCCTCTCTGGTCAAATTAAAATAAATAATAAAGATTAAAAATAAAGAGAGTCAATAGGGGCAGCCAGGTGGTGTGGGGGTGAAGGCAGCTGGGTCCTAAAAACACATAAGGCTCAAAATTCCTAGAAGACAGTGGCATGGTCATCCCCTACAGGGGATGCTTTCTCACTTTCTCTCCCTACCCCCAGCAAGCACATGAACCCTGTAGCAAATTAAAAAAAAAAAAAAAAGTCAACGTTCCTTCTTAAAAAAATAAAAAAATTCAATTTGCGACCAGCAGCTGGCGTAATGGCTATGTCACTGGACTGCTATGTAGTCGACCGCGGTTCAAGTCCCGGACCCGGTGGCTTAAACTCATGCCAGGCGTGTGTGCATCTGTGCCCAAGATCCCGAGAGGAGAATGCAAGAGAAGGAATTGTGGCGTGGCCATCACCGCAGGGGGTGATTTTTCGCTTTCTGGCTCTGGTTCTCTCTATCATTTTGGGGAGTACACACACCCTATAGCAAAAAACCTCTCCAAAAAAAAAAAAAAAAAGAATTATTCTATTTAACTTTCATTTTTTAAAAATTTGACTGGAGAGGTACAGGGTGAGAGAGAGAGAGAGAGCAAGTCACCAGGTCCAGAACTTGAACTCCAGTCTGCCAACCAGTGCCCCCAACCACTATGGTCCCTGTCAGCCCCTCAATGTTCCTCTCAGTTATTATTTTAAAAATAGTAAGCCCATAATATTTGCATTAAAGTCTGAAACTAGTAATCAATAGTTAAGATTTCATATAATATTTTAAACACTCTACCTATTTCAATCTTAACGGAAGCTGCAAAGAATGTATGGATAAATATTTAAATATAACCTGATGACGAATCAGTAGCATCTATGTCAATATAAGGTTAGTTTCACTTCTCTTTTGTTAGCTTCCTTTATTTTAAATCTGAAGACAGAAGTTAAAGCATTAAAAGAAAGCTTTTTTTAAAGAGATATTTGCAGTAGGGTGTGTGCACTCCCAGAGAGACAGAAAGTTAGAAATCATGCCCCAGGGGGGATGGCCACATCACAATCCCTTCCCCTCTGTTCTCTCAGGATCTTGGGCACACACACACACATGTGCCTGGCATGAGTTTAAGTTGCCAGGTGTGGTACTCGAACTGCAGTCGACAATGTGGGAGTCCAGCGACATAACCGTTATACCATCTACTGGTCCCATAGTGCTTGTATTTATAAAAAGGTATTGTTTTTCCCCATGCTTATGTACCAGCTTTGGGAAATTAAGATAATATTTTTAGTTTTTTGCCTTAGGGCATGTATGCTCACCAAAGAGAGAGAGATAGAAAGTGAAAAATCACCACCCACCAGAGATGCCCACAACAGTCTCTTCTCTGTTCTCAGAATTTTGGTTGGCCATACACATGCACCCCAGTTTGTTTTTCAAGCTACTGGGTCCAGGACTAGAACTGTGGGTACAGTCAGGCGTGAGATCCAGTGCCTTAACCACTATACTACCCCAGGAAAATAAAATCTTATTTGAAGCAAAAATATATGTACTTTTTATGTCTAGGGCACATGTGCTTACCAGAGACAGAAAGGGAGGGAGAGGGAGAAAGCACTCCCCAGGGGGGCATGGCCACGCTGTAATCCCTTCTCTTCCATTACTCCTTCCTGTTTGGATTTGGGGTATGCACACACATGCACCCAATGTGTTTTTTAAACCTACAGGGCCAGGATTCACACGACGACCATGTGAGAGCTGAGTCTCTTTAACCATTAGGCTACAAGGCTGTCTCCAAAAATATTCTTAAAAAAAAACCGTTATTTTTAAAAATTATAAAAATTTGGGAACAGCAGATGGCGTAATGGTTACGTTGCTGGAGTCCCATGTAGCTGATCATTGTTTGAGTCCCAGACCCAGACTTAAAACTCACACCTGGTGCGTGTGCATGCATGCCCAAAATCCCAAGAAGAAAACGGAGGAAAAGGGAATGTGGCGTGGCCACCCCCCCAGACTGCTATACTTTCTGTTTTTCTGTCTCTGTCTCTCTGGTGAATGCATAGGCCCAATAGCAAAAATCTCTCCAAATAAAAAATTATAAAGACTTGGGTATAACACATATATAGACAATGGTAATCATTACATCGCAGTACTAAAAAAGTGTTACCTTTCTACTATTTCAACCGATTAGGAAATATTTTCTAAGTCCTAGGTCTTTATGTGTGTTTTAAGGATAAATCTCTTACAACCACCTCCTCTGGTGGGGACCAACCATTAATTGTACCACTTTCTGTTCATTTTCTGTTGCGTGGCCAGTTTTTAATGAAAATACAAGTTCTAGGTATATCCGGCTTATACGACTCATAATATTTTGAAAGTCCAGGTACCAAAGCATCTATTTTCCTACTACAGACTTTCCTGCATGTGGCTGGTGCAAGGGAGGAAGGGTAGTCATGGAAAAAAAATCAACTTTGCTTATTGGATGTCTTATCTGGAGACAAAGAAAATATCATAAGTGAGACCGTGTTTTCTAAAACGAAGACTGCATGGATTGCAGGAGTCACTGTCTCCTTTCCTCTTGTGCTTCAGTAAAACCTAGCACGGGATGCGGTAATAAATGTATGTCCAGGCAAGTACAGAACTCCTGAATTTACTCTTAGAACAAATAATAATTTGGGTATACACTGTTTTACTCTTGCCACTGATGTAAATTCGGAGCTGGCAAACGTAAAAGGCCAAATAGTAAATGTTTCAGGCTTTGTGAGCCACATAAGGTCACATGTGGGTATTTTTCCCCCCTCAAAAATATCAAAATCCTTTCTTAGTTCATGAACTGTACAAAAGCAGATTGTGGGCCAGACTGTATCCAGAGGCAAATGCCTCCTGATTTCTAGTATGAAGATTTTGTTTTTAATAGGTTTTTGCCTTAGGGTGCATGCTCTCAACAGAGAGAAGAGACAGAGACAGTGAGAGGGAAAGTGAGAAATCACCCCTGAGGGGATGGCCACGTGGCAATCCTTTCTCCTCCATTCTCCTCCTAGGATCTTGGGCATGCATGCACACGCACCTGGCATGATTTTCAAGCTACCTGGCCCAGGACTCAAACCAGTCAGCTATGTGGGAGTGAGGTGGCATAACAGCTATACCATCTGCTGGCCTTAAGACTGTCCAATGCCAATTACTTTTTTTGTTTGTTTAGGTTTTTGAAATAGGGCATGTGTGCTCTCCAGAGAGTGAGAGATTAACAAAGAACCCCACCCCCAACGTGGATGGACATGACACAATCCCTTCTTTGCTATTCTCCTCCTGGGATTTTGGGCACGCGTGCACACAAGCCCAGTGTGATTTACAAGCCACCTGGTCTAGGACTCAAACCACAGTCAGCCATGTAGGAGTCCAGCATCTTAACAACCATACTACCTGCTGGCCCCAATGTCAATCACTTTTGAGAACAGACTCAAAGTGGGATGCAGGAAGAAGAGTATAGAATAGCTTGGATTTAAGCTCCATGAATGGCCATTTCATTTGCTCCAAGATGTACTAACATCACTATTAAAGGAATCAGGGTGTCATTTCTGTATTAACCTCATAGAAATCACTTTAAAATGGAAATGACTGGGACAGCAGGTGGCATGGTTGTTAAGGTGCTAGAATCCCATGTAGCTAAACAAGGTTCGAGTCCCAGACCCAGTGGCTTACTTTCTTTCTTCCTCTCCTTCTCTGTCTGTCTCTGATGAGCACATGTGCTATACAGCAAATTAATAAGTAAATAAAATTAAATTTTTAAAAAAGGAAATCACTTTAAAGTTAGTTTTATTAAATACTCTAGTACTTAGAAAAACTATTTCTAGGGGACCAGAAGATGGCATAATGGTTATGTTGTTGGATTCCCATGTAGTTGACCGCAGTTCGAGTCCCAGACCCAGCGGCTTAAAACTCATGCCAGGCGCCTGTGCATGGGGCCCAAGATCCCAAAAGGAGAATGGAGAAGGGATTGTGGCATTGCCATCCTCCCTGGGGGGGGGGGGGGTTTCTCCATTCCTGGGGGGGGGGGTGATTTCTCACTTCCTGTCTCTGTTTCTCTCTGTCCAGTGAGAGCATGCGCCCTATAGCAAAAATCTCTCTCTCAAAAAAAATAAAAATTATTTCTAAATCTAGCTTTTATAAGTTTGTAACTTAAAAAAGGAATCTATTTAGGATTCTACAACATAAATAAGGGCTTGTTTTGTCTGTTTTTAAATAAAACACTTCAGATACTCTGGTGGGTTAAAGTACACACAATAAGCTGCGTATTGCAAGGATCATTTTCTGTAAGCAGACACTACAAACCTCAATGTCTCTGAAGAACTCAGCCTGAGGTTAAGTAAAAGATGAATTAATAGAGAAAGCTGCAACTACTCATAAAAAAAAATTCCCTCTGTTGCCTTATCTTCAAATTTAGAGAAAAAAGAAAAAAGATTAAGCCTAACCACAGTCAACGTAGGGTCACATGAAGTCACACAGCCTGGTACCTCATGTCCTATACCAAGACAAACACTAAAAAGAGTTTAAACTAGTTCAACAGATATAGCAAAGGACACTGAGCTTATTAGGAAAACATCTCACATTCACTTCTAAATCAAGGAATAAACCTTATTTGGTAAGTTTTTGGTAAATTTCCTTACAGTGAATTTACTAAAGATCATTTAAAACTAGATTTATTACAAGTTCTTAGATACACCCAGGCTTCTTAAGATAGGTCATGATTATAGGAAACAAAGTCCCACAGGCTGAGATAATAGACAAAGTAATATTGGCAAGCCAGTGACTACATGAGAGCTCATGTATTCTATTAATAATCAGAACCCGCAAAGAGAATCTGTAAGAGTTCAGAGATAAACGAACCTAATTCATTCATTTTAGTACTTCCATTTGTCCTGTATGCTGAATCTGCAAGAGAGGAAGCAAGAAAATGATTAGTGCTGGAAAGGAAATGCATCATATGGTTCTTTACCACAGGTTCATCATCAAAACCTTAACAGATCCTTATCATCAAAATACTTCAAAAGGTTAGTCATCTGAAAAAAACTGACACGATTCTTTCTTAAAGGAAATGATTGAGAAGCAACAGAAACCTAATATGAAGAAAATAAGCTTCTTTTTTAGTTCTGGTGAAATCAAGCATCCTTAAGGGCCAATAAACATAGGAAATGAAGCAGAAGTAGACTGCTTGGAGTGACTTTTACTCGTTTTCTTTCATAGTCATGTAATCAAATAAAGGCCGGTATTTTCTAAGGTTTTAGGTTAAAAGTTGAGATAAAAAAAAAAGATGGGAACCAGCAGTTAGCGTAATGGCTATGTCACTGGACTCCCACGTAGTTGACTACAGTTCGTGTCCCGGACCTGGTGGCTTAAAACTCACGCCGGGCATGTGTGAGTGCATGCCCAAGATCCCGAGAGGAGAATGGAGGAGAAGGGATTGCGGCGTGACCATCCCCCATGGGGGGTGATTTCTCACTTTCTGTCTCTATGTCTCTGTCTGGCGAGTGCACGTGCCCTGTACCGAAAAACTTCTCAAAAAAAAAAAGAAAGAAAAGAAAAGTAATCTAGGCAAGGAAATTATATAACCTTGAGTCACAAAGCCTCAATCTCCATTTTTTAATATACAAACATTAAAGTTTATTTACTTCTATGCATGAGAGAGACCGAGAAAGTACCCTCAGTGGGATCTAGACACAGCAATCCACCCCTCCTTTAGCCAGCCCTGGATCAGGGGCTAGCCTGTGCCTGGCATATCCAGGAACCTTGGCATGGGGTCAGCCTCGCGGAGCCTCTCATTTTACCACTGGACCACTGTCTGGCCCCTCTGAATTGTTTTTTGGTAGTATACTGGGAAGAACAGAACGTTTCTGGCCTTGGTTTAAAATCATTATGGTAGCAAAAACAAAACAACATACTGTATTTATATATAAACTTCTTTTACGTCTCAGAAAATATCTTTGGGAAAATACTTAAGGCACCAACACCACTGGTTACTTCTGATGAGGAGACTGGGTGGCTAAAAAAACTGAAGAGCAGGGAGACTTCATTGTGTGTACAGTTACTTTTGAGTTTTGAATAAATGAAAATTAAAATTATATTAGGGCCAGCAGGTGGCGTGGTGGTTAAGGTGATGGACTCCCACATGGCCAACCATGGTTTGAGACCCAGACCTGGAGGCTTGCTTTCTTACTTTCTCTCTCTCTTTCTGGTCAAAATAAAAAATAACAACAAACAAAATGAAATAGATAATTCTTAAAAAATAAAATTGTATTTGTAAAAAAGTAAACCAACAGACAAAACAATCTCTTACCAGATCTTGGGCTTCTGAGAGGGGGTCTGCGTAGGCTGCTTAGAAGATCTTCAATCACCACTATTAAAACAAAAAAAATTTAAAATATAAAGTGTTAACCATATCAGACTTGTCACACAATCTCCATAAATCATGACAAAGACTTCTGGAGATTTTTCATTGTGCTAGAGTACTAGAGACAATGATTCTCTAAGTGACAACCTCTTGTGAACTAGCAAAAATAGTAAACTAGACACAAGTTTCCTGCCATATAAAATGAATGGTCTTGGGGCCAGCAGGTGGCATGGTAGTTAAGGGCTCTGGACTCCCACATGGCCAACCATGGTTCAAGTCCTGGACCTGGAAGCTTGCTTACTCACTTTCTGTCTGTCTGTCTGTCTCTCTCCCCCACCCTCTCCACTCTGTCCCTCTCTGGTCAAATTAAAATAAATAAATAAAGTTAAATAAAAATAATTCTAAAAAAAAAATTAATGTTCTTGATAGAAAAATTTACCATTTTTTTTCCAGCAGATCATATTCATACAAAGGAAAGAAATACTAAATTAAACTTTTCTAAATTGATCAATTAAGAACCAACTGATCAATGGGATCAGTTGGCGTAATGGCTATGTCGCTGGACTCCCATGTAGTCAACCGTAGTTCGCATCCTGGACCCGGTGGCTTAAAACTCACACCGGGTGCGTGTGCGTGTGTGCCCAAGATCCCAAGAGAATGGAGAAGGGATTGTGGCATGGCCATCCCCCCAGGAGGTGATTTCTACCTTTCTGTTTCTCTGGGAAATACATGTGCCTCCCTAGAGAAAAGAGCCCTCAAAACAAACAAACAAACAAACAAAAAACCAACTGATTGGGACCAGCAGTTGGTATAATGGCTCTGTAGCTGGACTCCCATGTAGGTGACCACAGTTCGAGTCCCGGACCTGGTGGCTTAATAAATTCATGCTGGGCACATGTCCAAGATCTTGAGAGAATGAAGGAGAAGGGGTTGTGGCATGGCCATCCTCCCGGGGGGTGATTTCTCACTTTCCTGTCTCTCTCTGTCTTTCTAGCGAACGCATGCGCCCTATAGCAAAAACTTCTCCCAAAAAAAAAAAAAAAAAAAAAAAAAAAAACTTGATCTAGTCCATTTGCGACTTACACTCACTGAATTTTTTATGGCATATTTTAATTTAGAGTTAACTTCCTAAAGTTAATATGCTCCCTCCGACTATTTAACTTTGTGTGTATTCAGGAAATGCAAATTCTAGACATTTCAGACTGTCTATGGGCCAATGGCATAGAGTTAGTGAGAAGCCCATCCTATTAAATAAAATATTAATTTTAGTCTAGAAAATCACTTATGAAAAAAGTGATAAGAACTACCATTTGATCCAGCAATCCCACTTCTGGGTATTTATCCGAAAGACAGGAGAATGCTCAGTCAGAAAAGTGCTTGCACATCAATGTTTATTGCAGCATTATTCACAATCGCCAAGACATGGAACCAACCTAAATGTCCACAAACTGATGAATGGATTGGAAAAGTGTGGTATATATACTCTATGGAATACTACTCAGCCATAAAAAAATAACAAGATCCTGGCATTTGATAGAAAGTGGTCAGATATGGAGGATCTACTGCTGAGTGAAGTAAGCCAGGCTATGAAAGATATGTACCCACTCAATATATACCGACTATCCGCACTCTGGTAGAGAGCAAAAAATTGGAGGACATAAAAGCAGTGAAGGTACTTAAAGAGAACAGGACAGTGTGGAATGGGGGAGGTGAAGAGAAGAGGATAGAGAAAGTTAGCAAGAGAATAACAGAGAGGCAGGACGTTAGTGAGAAACAGATATGGCTTATTATCTGTTGATGATGACATGTATAGTATTCTCAACTGGATTGGTCTGAGAAGTATTTCATGATGGGTAGTCTTTTTACAAGCAAAATGACAAAGTGATTGACTATTTTAAAAAATAATTAGAATAATAATAATAATAATAATTGGGAAAATCATTGAAAAGATATTGAATGTTGAAGCGGGGAGATTAATGTCTCTGTATTGACTGACATGCATGGCATTCCCTTTTGAAAAAGCAATGTAATACACTGCCAGCAGTTAGCGTAATGGCTATGTCGCTGGACTCCCACGTAGTCGACCATGGTTCACGTCCTGGACCCGGTGGCTTAAAACTCACGCCGGGTGCGTGTGTGTGCATGCCCAAGATCCCGAGAGGAGAATGGAGGAGAAGGGATTGCGGCGTGACCATCCCCCCTGGGGGTGATTTCTTGCTTTCTGTCTCTATATATGTCTCTGTCTGTCTGGCGAACACACGCGCCCTATAGCGGGAAAACAAAACAAAACAAAACAAAAAAACCTCTCCAAAAGAAGAAAAAAAAAAAAGGCAATGTAATACACTGTAAAGTTATATGTAATCCAATGTAATACAAAGGAGATTATGATGATAATAAAAATAAAAATAAAGGAAAAAAAAGAAAATCACTTACGAAGTATGTTTTCTCAAAGAGTCTCACATCACACAATCTAAAACCCAATAAATATCAATTTTGGAATACATTATGTTCTATTTCATTCATCTTTATGTGAGCTGTCAATACGAAAACTGCGAAAACCATATTCTGGAACTTCGATGATCCCCTTAAGTCTTCCAGCTCTAAGATTTTATGAAACATCTAGCTCAATTGTTAGTTTTTAACACACCAGGTATTTAAAACTTATATAAACAGCTTTGTTAAGATTTTACTAAGCAGAAAACTGAACCCACCATATTTTTTTATTTTTATGTATTTATTTTTTTGGAGAGGATTTTTACTATAGGGCGCGTGAGCTCACTAGAAAGACAGAGAGAAAGTGAGAAATCATCCCCCAGGGGGATGGCCACACCGCAATCCCTTCTCCTCTATTCTCCTCTCGGGATTGTGGGCACGCACATAAACGCCTGGCGTGAGTTTAAGCCACTGGGTCCAGGACTTGAAACACAGACGACTACATGGGAGTCCAGTGATATAGCCATTACGCTAACTGCTGGTCCCTGAACCCACTTTAAATAGAGGGCAGTGTAACATAAGTCATTCACATGATATTTAAAAACTTGACTGAGTAGCTAATTATTACAAGAGAGACTGACAGTGGAGGTACTTGGGAAAAATGAAAGGGCTCTGAAGACAAACCTTGGTTTGAGCTTTGACTCAGTTACTCTGAGTTCTAATCTCAGTTACTCTGAGTTCTAATCTCCTCATCTAGAAATGATCTGGTATTGCTCCTACAAGGCTATATGGCTTAATGTATACCAACTGACTGGTGCTTTGAGTAGGTACTCAAGTCATTCCCTTGTCTTCTTTCCTTTCCTTTTTTTTAATGAGAGGGATAGAGAGTGAAGTAGTTTTGAGAGGGTCTCTCCATGTCATGATACTTCTTGTCCCAATATCCAAGGTACCTGGGATCACACATGCACACCACCACACTGGTGAGTTTAGGTTGGTCTGTAATCCAAACCCGTACCTTCCACAGGGCTCCAGTATCATGCAACAGCCCTATTGCCTATACCGTCATGGTGGGCCCCTGTCTTTTCTTGACCCATATTTGTATTGCTCAATTAAATGAACTGACAAAGACTCAAACTCCCAGTGATGTAAGTTTTGAGCTCTTTAATTAACCAGGCTACCATCTGTACACAAAAAAAGTTGGCAGGTAAGATGAAAAAACAAAATATGAATTATTATTACCTGTAGCCTCTTGGGTTCTGACAGTTTTCTTTGAGATTGTTTGGCTTAAAACAGTTTGGGAAGATGGTTCATCCTCTAAAGAACAAACAAGACAAGAGTTAAACTTCAGCATATATAATCTGGGACATCATGGTATAGACTATGCACAGTAACAAAAATATATCAGCCAAAATGCAAGTAATTCATTTTCTTGGAATGTGTAGCTATGTTTATAAAAACTTAGGAATTGGGACCAGCAGGTGGTGTGATAGTTAAGGTGCTGAACACTCCCACATGGCTGACCATGGTTCAAGTCCCAGACCTGGTGGCTTGCTTTCTTGCTTTTCTCTCTTTCTCTCTCTCTGGTCCAATTAAAATTAATGAATGAATAAATAAAATTAAATAGAAAATTCTTAAAAAAAACTTAATTAAATTAGTGAGAGTTATTTTTAAGACAGAGTATAATTAATTCATTGGAATATAAAAATAAACTACTCACCATACAAAAATGTAGATTAGTCTATCAGAGTTATAGAACATTAATGAGTCAGTGGGGACAGCAGATGGCATAGCAGTTACGTCACTGGACTTCTACAAGGCCAACCATGGTTGGAATCCCAGACCCAGTGGCTTAAAATTCACACCACACCAGGGGACCAGCAGATGGAGTTAATAGGTATGTCTCTGGACTCCCATTTGATAGACCGCTGTTCTAGTCCAGGACCTGGTGGCTTAAAATTCATATTGGGCGTGTGTGCATGCCCAAAATCCTTAGAGAATGTAGGAGAAGGAATTGTGGGATGGCTAGCCCCAGGGTGTGTGTGTGTGTGTGTTTCTCGCTTTCTGTCTCCAGTGAGTGCATACATCCTACAGCAAAAATCTCTCTTAAAAAAATACCTCACACTAGGTGTATGTGCATGTGTGCCCCAGATCCCTAGAAGAGAATGGAGAAGGGGTTGTGGCATGGCCATTCCTCTGGGGGGGGGAGGGGGGTGATTTCTCACTTTTCCTCTTTGTCTGTCTCTCTATCCGGCAAAAGCATGTGTCCTAAATCAAAAACTTCTTTAAAAAAAAAATAAAAAGGCCGCAAAACCCCAAAAAGATGGGTCAGAACGTTAAAAAAAAAATATGTAGAAGAAAGCAGAGAGAAGAGTGAACAATGTTTAAATCCTTAAAGATTTACTAAAACAGTAAATTCCTCATTTTTTTTTAATATTCCTCTGGGGGGGGGAGGGGGGTGATTTCTCACTTTTCCTCTTTGTCTGTCTCTCTATCCGGCAAAAGCATGTGTCCTAAATCAAAAACTTCTTTAAAAAAAAAATAAAAAGGCCGCAAAACCCCAAAAAGATGGGTCAGAACGTTAAAAAAAAAAATATGTAGAAGAAAGCAGAGAGAAGAGTGAACAATGTTTAAATCCTTAAAGATTTACTAAAACAGTAAATTCCTCATTTTTTTTTAATGGCCATATAACTGCAGGAGACTGTAGTAGTCTATGTAAGTTAACAGACATTTACATTTTCTGCCATGTGCAAAGCATACTCCCAGGAAATGAAAAAGATACAGAATTATCCAATATATATGACAGGATGCTTGTCTTCAAGTTTATAATCTTATGTCAGAGATAAGAAGTTGTTACACGCAAGGCAACTTACATATCTTCAACACAGTTTCGCAAATCAACAAGTCGTCCAACGTGTCTGCACTTCAAGTGTCAGGAGGGAAACCTGCAGCCTGTGGCTGTGCTGAGCTGAAAATCCCCCTCCTCATAGCCACCAAGGTCAACCTCTATGTCACGCATTGTGATTCAAATGCCCTGATTTTTTTGCCTCATAGGTGCTTTACTCGCGGCTAACTTGAAACTTCACCTGTGACTCAGTATTAGCTCTGGGGGAGGGCGGACAGGATGGGAGCGGATGGGTTCAAGGACATCGAGTCACAGTGAGACTTTCCTAAAACTATACACTCACTTTATATCCTTTTAGGTCACAGAAACGAAAACTTCCTAATTATTCAGCAGAGTCATGTTCTGTCTGGCGACTTTGTCAGGTTACTTAAGATTAATTACAGCGAGGGCCCCCAGCGGGGGCTGGGGGAAATTTTGGGCAGGGATCACCTCACTTGAAAAGAGGGGGGACGTCAGCTTAAGCTTATCAGCCACTGAGAAGCTTTATTTCAGAATAACTGCGTTATCCCATTTCGATGTATTTGGGGCAGGGTTTCAAGTCCGTTCACTAACTCCGCTATCTCCTCTCTCTCGGGATGCTCACTCAGAAATCCCCCGTCTTCCCACCTGGGTGGGAATGGAAGCTCTGCGAGGTTAGATTAGAACCAAGACTATCAGCTGGGGATTTCTGGTTTCCGAGCGTTACAGAAGGAAATGGAAGTGGCTTCTGTAGAAACATCCGCAGGACAAAGGGAACCGAAACGAAACCGAACCCAGAGTAATCCCAAATCCCGACAGTCGCCTAAGTCGCCATGCCCTCGTGAGGGCCTGCAAAAACGGGCAGCTCTGAAGCCCCTAAATTGATGCCCGGAGATGGGCTCTGCCAGGATGCTCGGCACCACCATCTTTCCGCTCCGCCCGCGGCGCCTCCTTTCCGCCTGAGGACTCGGGGGAACTCGGCACGTCCCGCGGGGCCGAGGAGCCCCGATGTTCCGGCTGGGGTGAGCTCCACCGCGGCGCACGCCGGCCCGCCTGCTGCGCGCGCTTCCTCCCCCCCCGCGCCCCTGCCTCGGCCGGCGGGCGGGACCG